ATCTGAAACAAACAACCCAAAACTAAACAAACGCTACAGCTCCCCCAAGTTCAAAGAATAGGACTTAGGAGAGAAAAACATTATTTCTAGGAATATATGGAACTGCCCATAACAATCATGACTATTCTATCTGACCTTGCATTTGGGTCCTGCCAAAACAAATCACCTAAATAGACAATATCTATTATCCTTCTCAGAATTACAATGCCTATCTCTTAAAAAGATGAAGCCAGCCTTCTTGAGCATGCAGTCCTGTTGTTTATGGTGACCCAGAGGACTTTGTCAGGGTTCCCTTGAAAACTTCCTTGGTATATCAACATTTCATGTAAAATGGGAAGAGAATCAACAAGTCACACAGTACCAGACAAAGGGTACAAATGGAAGCACAGAAGGTCACACTTTGCATTTCTACAAACACAGCAAGTAGATGTAAAACAAACAAATCCCTTCATTTACTGCCCAGCCTTCCATCTACAAGTGTGAGAACATGGTACCACCAGGAAGAATTTTTCAGAACAGAGGATGACCACCCAAGCACAGGCTACTGGAAAGAATTTTATGAATACAACACCTCTTAATTCACCTAAACCTTTATTATTCTCTCCAGTGTTTTTATTAGAAAGGAATTCACTTTTACTTCAAATGACAGAACCAAAGTGTGTAAGTTTTCCAAATAAGGAAATTGAGAGGAAAAGGGAATAGGCAGACTAAGGCAGACCTCCTCTTTCAAGGTATAATCCAGAGCCCATTAAAGACTTCCTTTAAACTGAATGGATTTTGCATTAGGCCCCTGGAACTTTTTTCAAATTATTGGGTAGATAATTGCATCTCCAACCTAAGCACATTTAAATTTTAGACTTAAAGAAGTCTAAATTCTAAAAGATTTTTTTATAAGCCTTTTCCTGCTGCCTAAGTATTAGAGAAGTCTGATTAGTAATTAGATTGGATAAAGGTCAAATGTCTTTCCCTCAAAAAAAAACTAAACAAAACAAATAACAAAACTTCAGCAGCTTTCTTCTTGTACAAAGTCTAAAAAGAAATTTTTATAGTGTCCATTGCAGATGTTGGGACTCCTCTCTCTCTGCCCACATCCTTTTAGCCTTTCTCTCAGTGCATTTTAAACCTCATCTTTCTCACAGCCAGGGTTCCATCTTGCTTTCATGGAGCATTTTTTTCAGAGTTATCAGCTTTTTTTCAACTATTAACATTGCTATCAGCTGCAGAGGCAGTACCCACAGATAGGACTAGATAGGAAATCAGATAAAAGATGAAATTTCGGGGAGAAGAACCCCTGTGTTCAGGTTCTGCACCTACTCTGACTTTCCACCAGGCTCTGCACATGCAAACTTTTGCTTTCAGAATGAGCTCCCCAGTACAGCAAACAGCTCCCAGTGGTGTTTTTATGGATGATGCTCAGTGATCTGCAGACTTTCCTCCAGAGCAATTTACCACTGCCAAAGGTGGGCAGCCAACGCTCAAAATTCTGCTGATGAGAACAGGGCAGAAGCAGCACAATGCCCTCCCCAGCTCAAGCAGCAGGTATCTACACTTTAAGGAAATCTAGAACAATAATTACCTTTTTAGCCTCTCCTCCCCATCAGTAGTTTTTTTGGTGGAGTGACTCTGAGGCAAATGGTTTTTTTATACTGAATGTGAGCAGACAATTGAAAAAAACCTCTTTTTGGAACATGTGAAAACTAGTACACAACAATGCTACAGAAGTTTGCTTAAGTAGTGAGAGTATCTGTGCATTATGAATTAGATCATGCAATGAAAACGCTTCTCAATCTCTTTAAAGTCCTTTCTCAATCTCTTTAAAGTCCTTCTCTAACAAAGACCCCCCACAATAGTCATTTTACAGCCCAAAATCTCAATGCTACAGGGAAGTCTTATTTTACCACCTCCAGTTGCAGCCCCTGGCACAAAAGCCTGGCAGGTTTTCAAAGCAGTGAATATGGTGCAGGTGCAAAGCAGAGCTGCCCTGGGTGCCCCGGTAGCTCCCAGCAGACTGGAGCTGGTCCCTCCTGTAGCACAGCACAGCACCTCTGGACCCACCCTCCTGCCAGCCCCTGCTTCAGAGGGCTCCAGACCTTCTGCAAGACTTGCTCATCAGTTCTTTGCCTCAAGATAGGCAATATCTACCAGATCCTGAAGAGTGATTTAGGAAAGGAAAAATAGCATGAGACACAGATGTTAGAAGGTTACTGACCCCGTAGATAAGATTATTGTTGGGGAAATTCCTGGATTAGTTCTGCAGACACATCCTTACACAAAGGGCTTATTTCACATTTCTGTTGCTCAGTTGTTATTTTTTTAACGGTGTTTGAGCTTCATGTATTATTACAAATTAATTTCTCATTATGCTCCATTAGAATTTCATTAGAACTTGTTGATACGAACACTAACAAAATTCTAACGTGAAACTCAAGCAGATCCACAATGTTTATGTTTACTTATTGACACAAAAACTAAGTTTAAACATATATTATTTAGCACACAACAACTTTATCTTCATAGATGCTCCACAGTTGAATTTTCACTCACTGACACTGATAGAGGTTTGTAACTTGCCTTTTAGTAAATCCATTTGTTAAACTAGTACAAAGTATTTGAATACAAAGTATTGACTGCCAGAGGCAGCCAGTGCTGTCTGACTTCAATCTACAATACATCCAAACAGAAAAAACTAATACAAAATTAAGGTGTGGTGGCCAGATTTGATGCTTCTTATCTCAAGCCTCAAGGTCTGGTTTTGAGGGAACAAACCACCACAACCACAGTCAAAACTGTAGAATAATACTTCTAAAAAAACTCACTTTCGTTTTTCATTCTGTTATTTCCACCTGCCTCCCAAGATGAAAAAGCATGCAAAGACTTGCATTTCCACAAACATTCCTTTAATTTCTTACTAATTCACTTAAAGAAGTGGCCATTATTGCTGCAGTGAATTCTGCAATTCTGATTATCTTCAATTTAAGACAAGGTAATTGTGCTTGAAGTAGTACTGCCATCACATTACTAATATACTTCAGGTTTCTTTTGTCATTTGTAAGAGAAAGGGTACCAATTAATCTACAAATAGAGCTCATTTTGTATTTTAAAGGTAGAAGTGCATGCAAGATTTATAGAGAAACATTTATCCTTACAGACAATATGGAGATTAACTCACATAGGACTAGTATTACAAGAATTTAACAAAAAGCACTCACAAGTGAGCAGAGCAGTATTCAACTCCAAAAAGAAGGGGGAAAATTACACATAACTGATAGCTAGTTTAAAATAATTTCAGGAAATAGAGTCAAGTAGAAAATTCTTATTTCCCCAGTCTTACAGCTTTAAGAAGGTATTGAGTGGAGTTTTAACTAGAAATGAAAAATTCTAGTGTCCTGTTCTTGTCTGTAAGTCTCAGTCATCTATACCTTTTTATGAAAGTGATTTGATTTAGAAAAGAAGCAAAATATCTTTTTCAAATGAATCAAGATGATGTGCTCTGCTAGGAATTCACCAGCCCACAAAATAGAACTCATTTGAAAGACAAGGTCTGTACCCCATGAGTCATTAACACATTCAGGCTTTCTGGATGGGATTCAACAGAAAAAAAAACAAAACAAATCAAAACTTCATAAGAGCACTGTGCACACATCAGAAATGAGGGATGCAGAGAACTGTAAATGGCAAACTTACTTTTTTTCTGAGTCCACATGTTTTGTGCTCACAATAGATTTAAACTGCATAAAGTGTCAGGCACACTTAGTTTGATAACACTGCAATCTTCTCATTTAAGTGTTATAACAATGTAGCCCTATCTTTATTCAGAATAATTTTCTATTAAATACCCTCATCTCACACAAGCACTCCTGTGCACTCAAGAATTGATGGCCCTACACTATCCATCCCCCAAACCACCCCCACAACCAGTGAATCCAAATACCCCACGTGTGGACTTCATTTCACAGACTTAGAATATGCTTTGTAAAACTATAGCGAAAAGAAAGAATGCACCATTTTTTTCATCAGTAGTTTCAAGCCATATAAAGTTGTATGAATGAGACTCAGCATGTATGTACAGACTTATGGATCCTCTTAACATCTTAATTTACAGCAAGATATTTCAATATATTCATACATATACTTAAAATAATCAGCAGAAAGGTTAAGGATGGGCACAGAAAGCTCATTTGTTGTGACACCTTCCCAAGGTCACAGAGCCCTTCTTACAACTGCCTTCTCAAAGAAACTGATGCTCAGAAAAGCAGGTGGGTTTTCTGGCACACATTGTTATTTTACAGCAATTTGAAGTGTTGCTTTATGATATTCTCCAGGGAAGAGGGAGAAAACAGTGATGCAAAGTCACAAATTGCAACTGAAATCTTTGGTCCACTTTACAGCCCGTTTCTAAAAAAATGCAATTTCATTGCAAAGGAAAACAAGAGGAGTTAAAACACACAGTATTTCCAAAAAAAGCAGTGCCACTCACTTGTCTTGGCAAATGGACAGATGGCACCTACATTTCCAAAGGAAGTGCTGTGTAAATAAGGATAGTTTACTTGCTCTCGATGGCCTAGGTTCAGAACTGGTGCCCTACAAAAATCACTTTCCTAGTACAGCAAAGATTTGCCATATAACACCAGACTACTTCCCATGAAATGAAGTGCTTAATATGATATTCTCTAGTGCTAAAAAGAGAGATTTCTCTCTTCTACCTCCATGCCACCAGCAAAGCCACATCAAACCCAGCCCCACCATTCTCACATTTAAAGGAGTTTAAGTACTGAAACTTCAGAGACTGAAACCGAGCAATCACAATTCCATACCCACAATGGAAATGCTGCTAGGAAAACAGGGGAACATCACAGCAACATTGCAGCAGTGGAGCAGAAAGGCTTTGCTTGGCTCACAGCTGCACCACGAGCTGAGCCATGGACAAGAAACACCTGCAGCTGACTCTCCTTTGAGGCAGAAACGCTTTTAGCAGCAGCAACTTGATCCCTACTGGCCAACATTGAGGTTTGGGTGAATGCCATTCCCGGGCAAGGTGTTTCTGTTTGCACTGCAGCACACCTGGTGAGCTACTGAGAATTCTTCATCAACTTGCCTTTTCTTCAAAACCCTTGGCAAGCTCGTAAGGCATGTGGCAAAGTTCTTTGCTCCTCCAGCTGAGTCTGGGTACACAGAGAGTGCTCTCCTCTCAAAAGCACACCAGTGGATATCAATACCCCAGGAACAGGGTGCAGGGCAGGGACAGAGCTGTTATCCAGCAGTTGGGCAGCTACATTAGTGTTGGGTTATTTGCATTATCTATTATTTACTCCCACAGGAGTAGGACATTCAGGCATCAGTTGTCTCTGCATTATGCTTGGTTGTGTGAAAAACTGTGGTCTGCTTGCCCAAAGGAAGATGGAAGATGCATTCATCTCATTGTACATCTTCTGCTTGAAAGACTGTGTTTTAATCACCTAGCAGTCAAGTGATTAATAGCCTATCAAGAAATGTTAACATTAGAATACTAAAATTAATTTGTATTTCCTAAATCATCTGAGAACCACAGAATTTTCATTTCACCAATTTTTCTGATAACTGCTAGAAATGCAAGAAACAGCCTTATTTAAAGATGAAGTTACTGTCTTTACCATCTCTAGAAGTATATGATGTGTCTACAAGATACCAAAAAATAGCAGCTGGTAAGTGACCATGTTTGGTCCTTTCCCTAGCGCAGAGTCATTCATTTAACACACAGAGATGTGTGCAGTGTGCATCTCTGGGCCACTATGAAAACACTATATTTTCATTATGCTATTACAATACCATCATCATCTATAGATGTTAGCCTTTCATGTTATTAATAAGAATTATAGTGATGAAAAAAAAGCACCATCCACAATAATAGCTAAGATCAACATAAAGCACCAGCTGATGGCTGAGACTTTAAACCCATCACCATTAACTGCCTATCAAATAAATAAAAGATTGAATTTCATTACAGTCTAATACAGAAAGCTTTAATGATTCACTTTCATAGTTCACTTAATAAGAAAATGGAACAAATATTAACACCCCTTCTTTGTGAAACATATATTTACCTAGGTGCTTTTCAACAGGTCACGCCAACTACTTCTGATGGGAAGGAAGTGGAGCAACAAAACACCTCCTCAAATACTTTCTGTAGTGCTTTTATACCTTCTGCACATTCCCAGGCACTAACTAATTAATTACAACTCACTGATGCAGGCAATCACTCAAGCATGTACATGAAGACCAGAAAGAGGGCTGGAGTTTAGGAGCATCTGGTTCTCAATTATGGGGCTGCTCTGTGAGAGCACAGCGCTCATCTGCCTGTTCCACACATGGCAGCAGAGCTTATTTATAGTTGCTACTCAGGAAGCAGTAATTTGTATTAAAATATGTAATGACTGAATTACTCTTCAGTGCCTGTGCTTGAGAATAACAAAGTGTTCCCACCAATCTCCATACTATATAAAGCTGTAGTTAATACCAAGGATTTGTTCAAAAGGCAACTGAAATTGGAATGAAACGTGGCCTATCTGCAGCAGGGAGCGACTGTCATGGTTTTATTGGGCATGTTTCACTAATACCACTAAGCAAAATTCTTGCTCATTCATACCAGCCTACAGGTGGCTGCTGAGTAGAAACAGGCCATACAGCATCAGGCAGCGGTCAAATGTAACACAGAAGCTCCGAGTCATGCCTGAAAACAAAGCTGAAAACACACAACCACCTTCTCTCAGTTCTCGTTTGTCCTTTCCTCTCACGCCCAAGTCATCTTGAGCAAAGTGCTAATCAGAGCTCTGCTCACTCGGAACTTTAAAGTGCATGTCAGATTCCTCCTTGCCTGCTCCCCACCAGCTACCCCTTCCCTCCACCCTGCTGTGCATCTCGAACACCTGGCAGGCAATTGCTGGCTCACATAATTAGTTTGTAATCTCCACCAGTTACATTATCACCTGCTCTGCCTACAAATCCAGGGCCCTCCCACCTCCTGCAATTAGCAAGTTCTTACTTAATCCTTTCTAGTGTGGAGTTGGGAAACATAATTTCTACATAGAAATTAACACTTTCCTGAAACAGTTTTCAGTTTGTTACAGCCAGGTTGTGTTTCCAAATGAAAGAACACAAATCCTCAGGAATTCTCCAAGCGTGAGATGAAATGCTGCACTCTCCTTAGCAGCCAAGTGACTCTGGCACTTTAGGCAGGGGTGCGTCCTCTTCCACACATGCATCACAATGCCTAGGCCTGAATAATCCAATTGTAAAAGGTTCTGTAAATGAAAATTAGATTACATAAAATGTCCTTGTTAACTGGTTTGTAATAGATCTGTACAACACAGCATCCCAAGGACATTTCACTTGCCCCAGTAAAATCCGTAAGCGATGTGACTGAATAAAGAACAGATGATTCTGCTCATCGTGTAAACACTTGGGAGTTTTGCAAAGATGTTTCTTCTACCTAAATCCTGTAAAGAAAGCATATGAGTCATAAACAAGTTCAGTGGGTGCAATAACAGCAAGCAGAGTTATACAACACCCCAAAAAAAAAAACCCTGGAGTACAGATTGAGCAAACAGGCTTGTTTTGCTTAAGAAGAATGACAGTGCATGTAAGTCATCAAGTGTGTGACAGCCTGGTGAAAAGAGATAGGAACAGTCTGTCTCAGAGTACACAGAGGGCTTCAGATGCAGAAAATAAAGATTCATCTTCAAGAAAAGCAAAGGAAAAAACCCAACTTTTACATGGAAAATGTAGTGAAAGACAGGTAAAGAAACTAAGAGGTTTCATGGGTTGTTTAAAGGAGACTTATAGAGGAGTTGCCCATTATGTCCTTATATTTCCAGAATTCTGCTCTGAGTACCTTGATCATGGCCAGAATAAAAGTTTGTAGTGAAATCAGAACTCGAGATGCTTCCCCACAATCTAGTCAAATAACTTTATCATTCCTCACAGGTGTGCACATCCACTTCTTGCTGAAACAATCCAAAAGGCCAGTTTTGCACCTAAAAGCCAAGTAGGACTGGAAAGCATCTACTGAGATCACCCAGCCTGAATTCCCTTTTCCCTCTGGTTTATTCCTTATGCTATCATCTGAAATACCCTTCTCCAAACTTACTTCAGATATCTTTACAGGCAATTTCCAGATTTCAAAAGTACTTCTGAATTATTCTCAGTATTGTTCATGGATGTCCTAGCTAAATGATTCTTTAGCCCATGATTACTGTTAGCTTGTCTTAAACATTAAGAATACAGATATTGAAAAAGAAAAGTCACAGGTTTGAATCCAAGAAAAGCATTGGCATACAATTCACCTATTATTTAAATGCCCCTAAGAGTTCCTTTTCATCTCAGTTTCTAAAATGCATAAAACTAAAACAAAGAAATCTTTTACTTCCATGAGCAACTCGCTAAACATATCTTTAATATCTGTGTTCCTCTTCTATACCTTGTCAAAAACACTTAGAGCAAACATGGAGGGAGAAAACTATATTAAAAAACTGTGAGACTGCTGCTGAGCCTATTAACTTGGGATTTTAAGGATATTTCCTCATTTCCATATGGGTTGTAGGGAAGTGGAGTCTGATAGTGCAGAATCAATAACAGAGATGTTGAGAAGTTATTGCCATTATATTTCAAGTATAAAATATGAAGTACATGGTATCAGCGACATCTTTGTTTCACTGAGCTACATCTATCGGCTCTCAGGAAAATATGGGAAAACCTGATCACAGCCTTGGACAGAAAATTCCTGAAACCTTTTCCAGCCATGGCTGGGAAGTGTTGACACTGACCTGGGGGCCAGTCCTGAAATCCAGTAGCACTTGTCCAAACAAACAGTGCATGCTCACTGGGGCTCCTGGGCACACAATCTGTTAATATTACACCCCTGATACAGATTTCTCATTTGTTCATCTACTTGACCAAGCTCATGATACTTGAGCTGAATCAGCTTTCAGCCATGCTGCAAACTTCCACCATGGTTTATAGTTTTATGGGATAAAAGATCACAACATTACTTGCTGAATCAATAATATTAATACAAGCTAGAATTTATTTTACTTCGAGGACAAAAGTGCTGTGGATCACTACATCAATTTTGCTTCCCTGAACTACACAACAATTCTGCCAACACAGCCTTTGTTTCAGGTTTTCTGATTATTTTTTTTCTTGTTTCCATGTACTTAGGGCCTGAAAAAAGGAACAGGACACACAATATTTGCTTTTCTGCCTTTGGGCTTGTGCAGCTGGACCTGAACAGACCCGGATGACACAAGCTCTCCTCTGTGCTGGCCAGTGCTTGGGTTTGGTTTACCAAAGAGCAGTAGACTGGAAATTCAGAATTAGTTCATAAGTACCTTCTGAGGCATTGGATCAGGAATTTTAATTTAGAGAGACATGATCAATTGGACCAAGTATGCATTATGCATTTAACTGCATACTGATAGATGCAGAAATATTCCTAAAATCACAGTACCACGGCAAAAAAGTATCGGCCTCCTTTGCTTACACATAAAGTGTAGAAACCTCTAAAAGATTCATAATTGTCTCATACATGTGACAGAATTGTTCACATTGACTAAAGAAGCATTACAACCTTTTCATAATATTTTTATTTTATTCTAATAAATGTTCCATATGCACAAATTGTAATATTTTCTTATGCACAAGAGTCTAACATCCTATAAACATATTTGTGGCAATTTTGAAACCAATTTTCAGTGAAAGCCTTCTCCTGCAAAAAGATAAATTCATGCATAAGAATGAGGGTGGGATATGGACATGAAGGACTAACCCTGCCAGATGCTGATTTCAGCAGGGACTTTGCCACTACAGTGCTGCTTTCAAGAGAAATTTAAGAGAAAAATTATTTTTAACAATTCAAATCTGTTTGCATAAAAGCCTTTGACATTTTTGTGATAAATTTCAGAATTAGGCCTTAAAGACAGATAACAAATTCTTCAATTGTGACATATAATTCTCATCTGATCAGAGGCAATAAAAAAGAGACAGAAAATTCTTCAACTCTTTGATATATGATTATTCTACGCAGATAAAGCCACACATCCTCCCTTCTCGACCTTCACTCTGGGAGCTTCAAGTAGCCCTGCTTCTGCAACTCCCACTTAGCTGTGTTTATGTTTAATCTGAGTCAAACTCTGCCATTCTTTAGTGATGCAAAACAAAATTGCCATTTCTCTGTGCTTCTGGAAGATTTTACAAATAGGGAAGGAAAGGGGGATGAACATGACCTTATCCAAAAAGCCCTGCGGTTTTCCTTCTACCTTGGAAAAAGCTGGGTTTATGTTTTCTTAGGGTAGAGGAATGTTAGTTTAACATGATGCCAATCAAACTCTACAGGTTAAAAGGGCATAGCTTGTTTATCTTCAGTTCTGATATTAGCCAGTAAAGGGATTGAAAAGCAGAATCTGGACTTTGAGATAAAACCATTGCAACATTTGGATAATTAAAACACATGCTCTACAATTATTTATAATCTGCCTTTTATTTTGACACTATTGTTAAACTGCAAATGGATTAAATTACCCTAAAATTTAAAAATTCAGAAATCCATACCTTAACTCAGGAGGAGTTTAGTTTTAGCTCTTTCATTTTATAATTTAAAAATTCATTGGAACTGGCATTGCTGACCACAAAATACAGTAGGAAAATTGTAGGTTATGCAAGAAAAATCTGAATTGGATCTACAAAGGACCAGCATTTTGTCACTTGTTTTTATAATAGTATCCATTTTAGACAAATAGTGCATTGACAAATTACTATGTTTTAGAAATACTGGAGGCTAACTTCCATCCCCTCTCTAGATCAAGAGCATGTGCAGGGAGAAAGAAAAGAAATAAAATGCTTGTGTTGAGTTTGCCATTTCTTCTGAATGTTACCCAGGAAGCTTTAGATTGGTTTTGTGGGTTTCTACTTTTCCTTGCTCCTTTTGTCTTATGAAATTAAATAGGATTTAATAACTCTTTTTACAGCATTCTATGTAAAATTCCACCATGGTTTTAATCAAGGTGTCACTATCAAACTGACTAGGGACAGCTTACAAGCTCCTCAGCCTAGTTACCTACTTTAGAAGACACAGAGATATGTTAAAGATGAAACTATACCATAGTATGTTGGCACAATTACCATTTTTTATCACACACTGTTGATTAAACCATCAGATCCCCATGGAATCCATTTACATTTTCAAGAGCTCAACGTTAAGAAGGTTTTTTTCAGGTGTCACAAAGGGTGGCACCTACTCACTGAGCTCTCCTAGTTTGTCCCAGCTTCCCAGGTAGGAGAAAACTAAAGTATTTTTAACCACAATTAAAAAATGGATTCTAACTTTGTTAACTGTAGTAATTGAAGAATTAATATATATCAGAGGATAATTTAATTATGCAAGACCCTATTATCAGTACCATACATAGACAACTTCGGACCCTAAAAGGACATCAAGGGCTTGGAAAATGTTTTGACCTCCCAGCTCTGGTGATTGCAATGCAGTGTAGCTGAAGGCATCCTCTTGAATCTTTGTAACTTGTCACATTTGACTAAGAAAATACAGCAGTTATCCTGGCTGTTTTTAAATGGAGCAAAATGCTCTTTGTATCCAGGATTCAGGGTTATATGTAGCTGATAGTGACTACAGGCCAGCTTCAAAAGTTTCCAACCTTATTTTGCAAGACTCCTAAGCTGCTTCAGGGACTGCCCTGCTGAGGTTTGCCAGGAGCAGCTGGGGTGCTGCTCATGCAGGGCTCTGGTGCCTTGGGTTGTTTGGTTGTAGGGCAAATTCCCCAGGGCTGAGGCAGCCTGCACTCCAACATGCCAGCAGCTCCCTCCTGCTGGCACCAGGCTGAAACTGCCTGCAAAGGCACTGTCTGGAGCACTCCATGTCCCCCAGGTGTCTTTAACTATAGCCTGCCTTTTAGCCATCACTTTTGTAAGTGATCATGTCTCCTCTGAGCAAGTTTTGTGTTGAATCTGTTTGAAACCCTAATCAGAGGGCAAGCTTCTCAATGATAACATAATCTCAAAATCAGAATGTCTTTCAAGGACAAAATCTCACATTTTGTAGCTTCAGCCTTCAGGCAGGGGGTGGCTACCATATTTTAAACCCCCTGAAAACTCAGCCCTCTAGGTCTTATTGAAAGTGCAAAAGTAGAATGTTATGCATCAGCTGTTATGATATTAATAACCATTGGAATAAGGGATTTGAAGTCCAAAAGAAAAAGTCAGAGCTATTGACAAAAGCTAAAGCAAAATCACCCTGCTTCCTTTCAGATTTAGAGCCATTTGATAGGCATTTACTAGTAACTGCATATGACTTCCAGTTTTGATGTACTGGTGTTTTCTCATATTTAGAGCAAGCTATAAAGAAAAATAGCAAACATTTCAAAAATCAAGCAGACTGGTAATCATGGGATTCTTCAGACAAATGTATCGTACACAGCACACTTTGGAAAATGACATATGTGACAAAAACAGAGCCCCTAATGATGGGCTGATGAAGGAGGTGGAAGGCTGAGTCTTAGGCTTCAGGCCAGGGCAGCTTCTAGAAAAATAAAACAAACCTCTCTTGGAAAAAGACAAGAAATGAGTTAATAAAACAGAGAAATTAAACTTGTTCATTCTTTGTCCTCTACAAAGAAATGAAAAAGGAAGTCCCTGCTTTGAATAGCACACAGCTATAACTTTGTTTTTCCCTTAATTTGTCCCTGCAAAGCCTGTGTCAGTCTGACACTGCTCCAAGGCATCAGGCCATGATATGATCTGCTGTGCTTTACCATGAGGGGAGCAAGCCAGTCCTTCCTCCCCAGCCTCTGATCAAGGCTGATCCTCACAAGGAGGCTGCCATGGTTCATCAGCTGCTCCATGGGCACTCTCCTTCTCTCAAACAATTTGGAGTGGGTCTCACAGCCCTTTTTCAACAACATGTACACTCACCTTGCCTAAGAAAGCTCATTTATAAATTTCTCTCCCTTGCACAGGCTTGTTCATGATCCCTTAGCTACTGTGATGCTCAGTACCCTGGAATGGAAGAATTACAGCTCTAAATTCATTGCACTGAAAAGATGAAAGTTTCAGATCAAGAAAACCTTTCCATCATTGATGCTACTTCATTAGCAAAGCCAAATAATCACTCTGTGTTAACCATAACAGCTTGAAAAGTGTGGGCCAGGCACCTTCAGAGGAAAAGGAGTTCACTGACCTGAGTAGTCCATTGAAGCATTTCCCCCTTCATTATGAGTATTAGCTTATTAGTGCCTAGGTTTAGTGGAAACCAGATGTTTCTGATTTTGTGAAGACAACCTCGCTGTGATGGCTCTGAAGCCCATGTTACCCTCCAGCCCTAGGTGTATGTGCAGTTTGGGAGTCAATTAAGCTACAGGTCAGCTGTTAAATTGTTCATAATTCCTCATCTACACTATTTGCTGAGCAGGAGATGACATCACTCATTTGAGATGCTGGAGACCACAATGTCTTACATTTCTATCAAACCCCAATTCCCCACGGCTCAGGAACTTTTTGCTTGTCTCTAGCAGAGGAACAGTTCCCTTGGAGAGGGGGCACATTTCTCACCCAGGAGAGCAACTCCCAAGTCAGTTAAAGCAGCACAAACCTTCCATAACCTTCCTCCTCGACATTAACAGGACCTTCACATTTATACTATTGCAGCAGAGAAACAGAAATGGGCTAATGGCACCTCAAATCAACCATGCAGTTCTCAGTCCCAAATCCTGGACTTCATCACATCGTGCGAGCCTCTCCTGCTCTGACTGGATGCTGTTGGACCTTTTGATGCTGCAGAACAAGACATGAGATAAATAAAATGTACTTTTTTTTTTTTCCTTCCTTGCTTCCCTCATGCTGACCAGAGAGGAAATGACAACCAGATGCCCCTGTGACCCGCTGTTCCCCTGAGGTGACCGATCCAAGTGGAACATGTGGTCGCCTCATTTGGGAAGGAGCCAAAGTCTGCTCTGTTTAATTGGCCGAATGGTCCCCTACAGCTGCAACAGATTAGGGACAAATTCTCTTCAAATAAAGCTGTGCTTTTTCTCCCCCATCCCCCTTTCTAATTTGGGGGGTGTTGGAGAGAAATCATGCCTGGAGAAACATGTGCACATACGCACACGACTGAAGTTAATAAAAGTGTCAGGTAGGCAAACAAAATACCATTTATTATTAAGCAGCAATAAAAGCCCGCATTGATGGGTATAAGGAATCGGGCAACCAGGGTGCTCCAGAGAGAGGGAGGCTAGTGGTGTCTCATGAATCATTACAAAAGTTTTCTCTGATCTTTAATGCTGGACTCAGTGACTTTGGGAAGGGGGGAAGGGTGCAAACATTTGCAATGCCAAGTCCTAAGCCCCCTCTTTCCAATTCTACAGCGATTCACGTGTGAGGGGATGAGAGCAGCCTGGCTGGAGCAATCTGCTGCAAAGAGCAGTCTAAGCTGTCATAGCCATCGTGGAGGGCACTTTCAGGCCTGGCCTGGTCTGTCAGAGAGCTCTGAAGTTATTTTAAAGAATAAAAAGAATATTTTAAAGACTGGAATTTTAAAGATAAAGACATCTTCAAGGCAGAAGCAGGATGTTCATTTACCTGGAGACCCACTATCTAAGAAACTTCTGATGGAAGTGCTATATTTAGCAGCCATTCAGCTGGCAAAGTGCTCTGTTATTCATTATAATATCAAGTTTTCACCAAAAAAAAAGCTCATTTTTAGAGACTTTAATGTAGGGGCTTTTGTTCCCTCTCAGACAATTCTTGCTGTGTTTTTCTTTCACTGCTTGGTCTTAACATCTTGGTGTGGAAATGAACTCACTAGGAGACCTGTGTAGAACATATTTTGGGGGAAAGAGGTTCCCCAAGCTCTGTTCCAGCAGTTCTGGAGGCACAAGCAGGTGTCAAACTGTTCTTGCTGCATAGGTTCCTCTGGATCCTCACAAAACCTTGTAAATTATTTTGGAGATCCATTCATCAAGTCCAATGTAATATCAAAATTAGTGCTCCTACCTGAGCCTAAGGAAATGTCTTCTTTTACCATTCACGCATTATAAAATGAAGTGCAACAGAAACTGAGTGGGGAAAATGGTTATATATCAAATATTCATTCTGAACATTTTGAGGTAAAAGAAATAAAATACATTACTTTAACCACATTTGAAGCCATACTTAGTTGAGAAAAATTTTTCTTCTATTTAAACAGTAATGTGATAGCCCAGTGTCATCCACTTGATTATAATCATTACCTTACACATATCCACATACCATATAGTCAGAGCAGTTATACAATTATAGAAAACGTTCTAACTCAATTTTTCTACACACCTTCCATGACAACTTTGTGGATTAGAGCCCCTGAAGACAGCAACAGTCATTTGTAAGAAATAATTCAACTAGAGCTATTGCTGTGCCTTAAATGATCATTTATTCTTTAAAAATAAAAAATAAATTTTAAAAAAATCAGCAGATAGATTTGTTGTTCATTTAGCTGAAAGAAGGAATCTTAGTGAGAAGTCTCTGAAGTTGAGAACAAATATCTGTATGCAGGTCAGCAGTGTGTGTGCAGCTCCCAGTAAGATTAGAATGCACTCAGAGGTGCAGACTTTGCTGGAAGAATTTTTCTACCCTCAAAAATTAGAACAAGAAAATTCCTCTCACTTTGGGGTATCAAAGTATTTAATTGTCACAATTCTTATTAATTATCTGATTTGTTTACTTCCCCAAAAAAATTTATTCTGAGGAGGGAAGGACTCAAAGTACAATGAAATATTAAATGAGTCACTGTGGAGATATTTAGAATTTCTCTGAAGAATCCCCTCTACTTCTCTCTGTTCACATGAGAGGTATTTTATTTCCCCTTCAATGCATACATTTGCATTAATTTGTTTTGCATATGTCCACCATAAAGACAAATATATGTGCTAATAAACATTTTGAATAGTAGTGGTGGGCTTGGCAGTGCTGGGTTTATGGTCAGACTCCATGATCTTAAAGGTCTTTCCCAACCTAAATGATTCTATGATTTATTTCAGAACAACACCATTTCCTCAGCATGAGAATTCATAAGTATTTGCTAATACTTATAAAAAAATACATGAAATATAAAAAATACATAATACTCATAAAAAAAACCCCAAAAAACAAATGTAATTTCTTGTAGCAGCCTTTTCCTCAGGCAGTGAAATGGTTTTGCAGCACTTTTCACCCAGGCAGGGAGTGGGCTGAGCCCAGGACACGCTCACATTGCTCTGCAGCAGGCAGGTGGAGGAGGAAAACAGGACCCCTGTGCCAGAAACATCTGCCTCAGTGGCTCAGATGTGATGGCACACTCTGGCCACAGCCCATAGGCCTGGGGATGAGGTTTTCTGGTGCTCAGCTAAACTTAAAGTGTTTGACATTGGGAGCAAAGACACTGAGAAATTCTTAGCTGGACACCTGTTTATCCAATCTACCACCTTTCTCCACTGTTACTCCATTAAAATATTAATTATATTCATTCTGTATTCCTATCAGGATTTTGTCAGATACAGGACTGCATTGTCTAGAAAACCATCAAAGGCAAAAGAAAATTCACAAATGGTACAATGCCAAGAATAGTTCAGGCTTTTTCCTTTCCTGCTCCTGGTTTAGAACTGTTTTCAAAATCCAATTTAAAACATGAACAATTGAAAACCTGACTTTGAGGCTGCTGTGACAAATCTGTTTCATAATGGTCTATAATCACAGTTTCCATAAGAGATTCCGAGATAACCCAATGGTGTCCTTACACATCATAAATCTCAAGTTATCTTGAGTTTTTCTCATGGTGATATCCAGGTCAAATAACAAAAAATAGCATGGCTCTGGGCTATCCCTTGCCTTTCTCCCTCTGCCCTGGCCACAAAATTCCTACTCTTCTGCTGTGACATTGGTTGGATAAATTTGGCCAAACTAGAGGAGCAGAGAAGTTCAGAACAGCAATGAGCTTTTCTACAAATGGTTATTTTAGACACATATCATTCTTGACCCATTTTTTATTGCAAATAAAATCAGTTTTATGCAGATGCAATATCACAATTGAAATATTTTAATATTACATTGAAAACACACTACATTTATGTTTTTTGGATTCTTTGAATGTAAATAGTCACTGCAGTGCTGGATGTAAAGGTGCCTGTCTCAATAAACTGATAAATGTGCCAGCACTGTCATAATTGAACGAGGATAACTTGTTCTTTGTAGAAAAGTACAGAAAAGCTGAGCAAATCCAACAGACCAAACCCTACACCAGAACTGATACAATTCATTCATGCCTTCTCCAAAACCTGGGGAATTCTTCCCAGTTCTGCTGACTCTTGCCAGTGTCATGTGCCATAACACCCTCCAAGCAGGCTGCTGTACAAATACGGTTTCTTGTTGAAAACATGACAAAAATCTCTATAGAATCCATCAATTCCTGCAGAATTCACCAGTCTCCAGCTCTGAATGGCCATGAAGTTTTGCAGTGAACTCCAGATCAATTGCAGCTCTTGACATTTATCTAACTTGAATGCTAGAGAACATACATTTTGGGTTGATTCCTATCTGTTACCAGCTAAATGGATCAATAAAGCTTTTTTTCCTTTTTAGTGAGAGAGGGGCTACACTTGACATCTTTTAAAGTTAGGCAGACAGTTTCATTCAAACTGCAATGCTCAGCAACCTCTGATATTCTAGCAGCACCCAGCTGCTCTTCAATTGTTAAGACATAGTTCAAATCTCTATTATAAACTCTCTTTTTCTCTTTTAATTAGTTTAAAATGCAGCTGTAAAATTTGCTTTGGGATGAACCTTGGCATGCTGAGCTGACTGCTGGCCTCTCTTTCTCTTGTCTGCCCTCCCCCACTCCACTTTAAAATTTGAATTTAGATTTATTCTGCCTGGAGATAGAGGAAGGAAAGCAAGTAATAAAAATAGCTTATTCCAAAACTAATAGGCAGACACCAAGCCATCAGATATCAGGTATGTGGCATGACTGTGTATTAAAAGAAACATACTAGATAACACATATTTTCAAGCTCCAGACGCCAAAATCTTCACAGCATTAAACTAAAAGATGTAACAGGTGTTAAAGGTCCTACATCTGAAAAAGAGCCTCTATCACTAAAGCCAGGATTTTCCTCCAGGCCACCAATTCAGCAGTCCCTGAGGCCACTCTGAGGACTGAGGAGGCAGTCAGGACTGAAAGTACTGCAGCAGTGCCCTTTAATACACTGCTTTTATCATCAGCAGGTCAATACAGCTGTGTACACTGTACATGGAATATTTTAACAGGTCAGAACATACCACTGCACAACTGTTTCAGTGCCCCTGCTTCCTCAGCTGGGACTTCACTCTCCACAGTAATACAAGGCAGAGCTATTAAGAGGCAGACAGTTAATTATCACAAAAAAGGTAATAATATGTGCTGTTTCTGTGAGGCATTCTCAGTGACTACCACACTGATATAATCAGCAAACTACACGAGGTTCAGAGTTAGCCTTGGCTTGTGCTGGAAGTAATTAGCTATCAAATTGATCTCCAGCTATTAGAGCCCATGGGTAGGATGCCTTCTGTCAAGTATAAAACCAGCTATTCCAGCAGCCTTGCATTACCCCTAAAGCACTAGGATGCACTGCTGAGGACCCTCAAATTTCACCCAGAATTTCCATGCTTTTGTAGACTTAAGATTTTGCTTAGTCAGTGGAGAAATGCAATGTATTGTTCTTGAATCCATGCCCATATTTGCTAGCAGCTATTAAGATTATAAGTACCAAATAACAAAATGCTAAATGGTGATATTTACAGTCCTAAAAAATGAAAATGAAAAAAAGTTTTGTTTTTGAAATAAAATCCCAGAATTTGTACTTGACAATGTTAAAAAACTCCAAAAACCTTCTGAAATCTCATCACAAGTAGCTGTTTTCACCTGATACACACACACACATATTACATACCTCAGGAAAAGAAGCTATTTGTGAAACTTCCTTAGGACCCAGTGACATGGTGCTCCTCACTCTGACAGCAGCAGCTCAGCTTAACCAGGGTGACAGGGAACAATTGGAAAATAGTCTGCCAAACAAATTCAATCATAATCAGCATGTGCTTTGTCACAGGCAGATCTCCAGCCCATGGTCTCACCTCTTTCACTCTGTCCACTGATAAAAAATGATTAGGCCTTCTACAAACTGTTATTATGTTCTGCCTTGAACAATACCTGGCAGCAGTGAGGGTCACAAGGTAATTAAGAGAACATGCTTAATTTTACATTTTAAATATAATAAAAAAACCCCAGAAGTGTTCTTAGTAATATTCTCTTCATACTTTCACATATAAAATAAATAATCCAATTCATATATTTTGTGTTTATCAGAATTAATCATTCTCTTCCATCTCTATATGGTAGAAACTTCATAACTCATCATATCTTTCAGCCTTATTTACTCCTGAGCTTCAAATTTATATTTTTAGAATATATTTTCTGCCTCAGAAAACTGTCTTGTAACTTGTTTTTATGTGATGGAAATATTAGTATTTTTCTAATAACAGATAAATGTTAAATAATAATCAAAGCTAATGCTAATAATAGTTCTACATGGAGTAACTTGTTAATTGTTTTTTAAAAGGTTTTTTGCTCTTTATTATACCTTCCATTAAAGGCCCACAGAATTACGACATTGTGGTGTTTTTGCTATGAAATTCTTATCCCAGAATTTTTATGGCCTGAAAGGACAGAAACAAATTCCCAGTCCTTTTCATTCCAGGGAGCCAATCTAGGACAAATCCAGGGCTTTCATCTTCTATGTAAAATATATAAACTGTGGGATCCAGGAAATAGGGTTCTTTATGTTCTGTGTGAAGGAAAAAGACTCCAGGGAAGCACCAGAGCTGCATGCACTGCATACCAAAGACAGCTCCAAGGGCATCTCTGCTTTTCTCTTTGCACTAGAACGTATGAACACTGCACCCTATTGCTAAGCCCCAGGATGCAGGCTAAAGAAAGGGAGAAACTGTTACTTCAGCCTTGGCCAAAATATATATGTATGTGTATTTAGTTATAAAGTAATAATGTGAAAGCTTATAAATGAGTACAGTTGATTTATTTAAATCTTAGCAGCCTTTGAGCCAAGATTTGCAGAACAGGTATTCCTGAGGGCAGTGCTACAGCCAGAGAGAAACACAGCAAGCTGAAGCTGCTAATTAAGTTCACTTTAACTTTCCATTAGGAGGCTTGGATCAGTTACTCACATCCTAAAAGCTCA